CACACGACTCCCGCGATCCTGTATGGGATGATGTTCATGTCATAGAAAGGATATCCAAGCGAGAAATCCGCTTCAAAGTCGAAGTTTGGGAAAAAAGGAGAGTTGTAGCTGATGTCCTCATCGGTCAGAGTGACGAACAAGCTGCATGGCTAGACGAGGTCAGCCTCTCACAGCCTCGAATCAACTACCCCTCCCACCACAGGTCTTCTACCATAAAGGTGCGGACATTCGCGTGCCGATACGTAGTTCTCATGAGGAGTGCAATCCTGTGGTTATGCTGCGGGTTGAAGTAGAGAGATGGACCCTCGTTCAGGTGAGGTGCTCTGTGAGTTTCGAGCGGTAGTTTATGTCAGTCAGTTTTATGCTACTTCTCTGGAGGGACCGGAAGAATCGCAATTTGATGAAAACTACCTTATTGAATTCAATGTGATCGGCGAATTTGATAAGATCAACTATCTTTCCGTACCGGGGAAAGGAATTACAGCTCCTATCGAAGTCATTACCAGCGAGATCTCGATGAACCACCCCGATGAAAAGGTCAAGACGATAGCGAGACTGATAAAAAAAGAGCGCCGGTAAGAGTTCTTGACTGGATTGGGCTTATCGAGGATTCGCCTATATAGTCATATACAGACTAGTATCTTATCGCTCGATGGGGCGTTCATATAGCGTAATACATTCGATTAAATCAGACTGGTTTAATGATGGAAACTCAAGTAGTATTTCATACAAAGTACACGCTAAGTACATACAAGCTACGGACATACAAAGTACATGCTAAGGACATACTAAGTACATACAAGCCAAGGACATAGAGAGTACATGTCAAGTTCATACTAAGTACATATTGAGTACATACTACGCACTTACTGAAGACATACAAAGTACATGCTAAGTACATACAAGGTACATACAACGTGCATACTAAGGACATACAAAGTACATGCTAAGTACATACAAGGTACATACAACGTGCATACTAAGGACATACAAAGTACATGCTAAGTACATACAAGGTACATACAACGTGCATACTAAGGACATATAAAGTACATGCTAAGGACAGACTAAATACATACAAGCTAAGGACATATAAAGTACATGCTAAGGACAGACTAAGTACATACAAGCTAAGGACATATAAAGTACATGCTAAGGACATACTAAGTACATACAAGCTAAGGACATACAAAGCACATGTCAAGTACATACGAAGTACACATTGAGTACATACTACGTACTTACTGAAGACATACAAAGTACATGCTAAGTACATACAAGGTACATACAACGTGCATACTAAGGACATACAAAGTACATGCTAAGTACATGCTAAGTACATGCTAAGTACATGCTAAGTACATGCTAAGTACATGCTAAGTACATACTAAGTACAACACACTAAGTGAAACATAGTAAGCACTATGCTATACGCTGTGTACGCAAGATCATGAGAAGATGCAGAGGTCTCTTCAGCGACTTTCTCAGATTCATCGGTAAACCCATCTCGCATGAAGTAGCGATCTTTGATCTCCCGGAGCTGACACTGAGCACTCCGTTGCATACTGAATGCGTCTCGTCGATTCAAGACCGGCAACGTCGTTACGAGCTCTGCTTCTGCTGTCGGCTTCATCCAGCTCTACCTGGTTTCGTTGCGCCACCAGTTCCAACACCAGGCCCTGCCTGCGGCGAATATGTGAACTGGAAGATCTCCATCGATCGTCCAGAAGAGTCGTCCCGGTGTCCGATGCACGGGAATGACGAGCTCACCGCGGAGCTCCGCTTCGCTCCGTTCTGGCGTGAGGAGCCGGATGGAAATTGCAAAGTGCCTGGGCGAATTGAGCTCAGTGGACCAGCTGATAAGAACCAATCTGAAATGGTCTTATTACTCCAAGGGCATTCTTCGAAAGCCGGCCTTGTCTTCAGCCGATTCACCGCACGGGAATGTGGTCCGATACCCCTACCTCTATCAGCGTTGTGCAAAACTTGCTGTTGGTCACGCATTCAAGTTACATGCGAACTATCACCGTGGATTTATCTCTACTTGGGGTTATCTGGAAGAGAGTCGGACATCTCGATTGGATGTCACAGATTCAAGTTGGATTCGGGACGGTCGATGATCGTAGCTCTTAGCGAGACTTTCACCTTCATAAAACTCCACCAACATGAGAAACAACTCTTCCTGCCGCAATATCTCCTCAAGGCCAGCATGCATCCGGCGCATGTGGAACTAAATCTCGACGATTTGTGTCTCCATCTCAGCTGGAGTTTGGTACCAGCCAAAGCTCTAGCAGTCCCGGCGGAAATCGGGGCAGGATCATACAAGACGTCCGATGAAAGTTGTAACCATCTGGAATTGAGAGTTATCAGTGTGAGCGAAGCACCATCGGAAATCTGCCTTGTGCGCTTCGACGTTTGCTCGAGTAGCACAGCTGCCTCGGCATGTTTGCTGCCTGTGGAGGATGCTGACGAACTACTGAGGGTGTCCTACACAGATGCGTGGTACACCAAGAGAGTTAAGCCGAAACGTTGCGCAACCTTCGATAGCGAAGTGAAAATCGTTTTCGATACAAGATGCGTTATAGTGTGCACTGTGATTGACTCCGAAGGCTCGGCGGTTTGTCTCGGTCCCGTGAATCCGGATATACTCGAAGTTGGGAAGGTGCACACAGTCGCATTACATCCCGCTGGCAGCTTGCTGCTATCACCTCGTCCTGCATCACGGGAACTACATCGAAGTGGAGAGGGTTCAAGCGCAGCCACACTCCCTAAGGGCTCTAATTGTCATGGAGCATCTATCTCATTGACTAACCCACTGAGGGCTAACGACGCTCGACTAGTCTCAACCCCATTGGATGCAGGAGCGATGGAAGTTTCTGAAGAAATGGTAGATGAGTTCGGAACAGCTAGTATGATGGGAATCCCGGATAGACGTCATCTATTGGTGAGCGCAGAAGAAAGCGTCGACATAATGCCTCTCACGACGCGAGAACGCAGCGTATCGATCGTGCCTAGGGAACTGGGAGTCCCGAATCTTACCCGACGCGGCTCTGGAGAGACGCCATTCGAGAAAGACCACAAGCCTGCTTCCGCATGGTTGAGTGAAGTCCAATCGGAACACCGACCGGTGCCGGTCATTGGGAGCTCTCTGAGGGAGTCAGAGTTTGATGAAACAGAACTGGTCTCTCTAGATGACGTTGTCTCTTGCTCTGAGGGACTTAGGGGGAATCGATCCTCTACCCCGCGATTCGGTGATGATGAGACAATATCTGTGAGCGTCGATACCAAGGGGCTCTCCTTGGGCGAGAGGTCGCTCGAAGCGTGTATTTATCTGTGCACGACAGAGCCTTTCTGCATCGTGAATCGCATTTACGCACCAAGTGCGACTTTCTTCAACATGCGATTGGGCGAATCTATTTTCATTACGGGTTCGGCTGGAGAGGTCCTAATCGGATGTCATGAGATTGACACTCGAGTTGTGGTAACGAATTTCGCAAAGTATAAGAGGTTTCATCTGCTGGACGCAGAAGGTCGACGGACGGATGCATCAGGAGAGTACAGGGTAAGCCTCATCGGTGACGGAGATGTAGGAGAACCTTAAATCACTGTACGAGCAGACCGTACTCGGCGAAAATGTTTCAAGTTGCCGGTAAATGCGATAAGATTGTCGTTATGATCACTGCGAATCGATGTGAGTCGTCAGTAGAACACGCAACAGTTTCAATGAGAGTATCCCGAGTGTTGCGTCTCTTGTATAAGCGGATCCTTTCGGGGCGGTGGGAAAAAGGTTCTCCAAAGGCACACTTCGTTATTCTGCGAGGTAGTGAGTATGATGAGAGATTTCATGTCAACAAACTCATTGTCTCCTACAATGTACAACAATCAGATATTATCGGGCGTAGCGATGATCTTCCCAAAAAATATATCGTTTCCATGCCATTTTTGGGCGTGCGCTTTTTTCGGTGTTTTTTCAACTTTTGATACTCAGCAGTTAGGTTCCATAATGCTGTACCTGAGCAATGTGCGACTGCGGTATAAAATGGGCCGACCGGGAGGGAAAGGTAACAACTACCAGACAACTATCTCCAATTACCAAGAGAAATCCGAAGTTCATCTATTCGACTCGATGCAGCTCCCTAGAGCGCTTCTCCGCAGGTCTGTATGAAAGATGGTGGCTTGAATGGAAGCCTTTCAAAGTCGTTCACCAGAAGGTCTGTGCCACACGTGGAGGCCACGCGAATCCTCATGAGTGGCCGAAGCGGTATTGGCCTACAGGATTCTCCAAGAAGGTCTGAAGATACTTCCTCTCGCACAGCGAAGATTTTTTCCACTCAGATGCGCATCGCAAACAGTGCCCAGTATGCTTTTAATCGATATGGATACGATTATAGAGTACCCAAGTGGGGCGGGTGAAAGTGCATGTGGTGGTTTCTGTCACGCGAGTGGTTGAGTTTTGTTGTCTACTTTTGTCAGCGGGACGAAACACTTTCTCTTAGTTTCGCCGTGCATCACACCTAATCCCGTAATGGTGTTAAAAGCATTGAGCTCGACGTGAAAGCTGTTTTTGACCACGAACTCATTGAGTAGAAAATCACTATTTTCACTAATCACTAGTAATTTGAGTTGTTTCAACCGGGGAGCAGCCGAATTCCCACAAAGCCTCGCATAACAACAGACGCTTGGCGAGGGCGAGGCAAATGATGTCTGTCGAGAATTAACGTCAGCCTGTAGATGCCACTCGTCGATGAGGGCGCACGGAGGTCAGCCTGCACTGAAAAGGGACATCTTTGCGAATCTACAGCGTTGACAGGAGCGCCCACATGACATAACGGAGCGAACGAGTTGTATCGAGAAGACAGATTCTCCAGCAGCTCGATGTAGATTGCCCTCACACTATAGACGACTCGCTTTGGATAAAAAGTAACTGATGGTTTTGCAACCTTGCGTGATAGGATGACTAAGTATGTGAGTGGGCGGCCGTTGAGTAAAGGAAAGTGGAGTCTCAATATCAATAGTAATGTCAGTGCTGCCTGCTCGCACCGTCACTTATCGGGTGAGGAGGAGGAGGGGGTAGCTGAATAAACGTCGATGTTGAATGGGTGGATAATGGTGTGTTATGGTGTGTTATGGGGTTACTAGACACTTGCCTGTCAAATCATCATCCCGAGGGTGAAGTCTTCTCCCACGTGTACCCCTCACAGGAAGGAATCACCGTCTGCCTTCTAGACTCGTGATTCAGTTTATGTATGCTTCTGTTGCCGATCGCGTGAGATCGCGAGTTCACGATGCGTTTGTTTCATTCTGATTTTCGGTACTGATGCGATTAACTCTGGCTTCGGGGGTTTGATTCCATTCCGATTCAGCCCCTACTGAAGATGTTGATATACCGGATGACAAGTCATGGTCTTTGTACCCACGGTTTCTCATAGTTCAAGAGGGACTCGAGTTCTACAGTCGCGTTTGCGTATTCGACGCGATACAAGCATTGTCTCCGTAGTGGCCCAGTCTGAGGCCATCGAAGTCCTTTATTCTCTTTCCGATTCGGACATCACTTGAATCCGATGATAAAGTACTCGACGGGGAGTAGTATATCGCCCAATGAGCAATCGAGTATGTGAATATGATGAAAGAGTATATGAACGATGTTCCTGTACTCCTTTCTAGGATTAATAATCCCCTTATCGTGAGAATCACTGTGTTTCGATGCGGCTACTCAGACACCTTAATAAATGATTGATTTTTTGCTAGTGTCCCAGTTCCAAAGACCGCCTCTAATTGTACAGTCGTGACAACCGAAGCAACACTTGGCTTGTCGTTCTCAATAAAGTCATACCCGAGGATGATCATTATTGTTGCATGATCCTCGTCGGTGAATCGGGGTTTCAACTCCTTTCGTTCAAGGAGCGCAAAGAATATAAGAATCGATCCTTTTAATATCACTCTGACGAGCCAGACTGCACAAGCGCAAGAGACCAGAGATTCACCAGAAAAGTACAATTTGACGACACGGCTCACTCATGGCATGGTTGCAGACACACCGCGGCAAAAAGAATCCAAATAGTCAAATGGACGACGAGTCGTCGAAATTACTTATATGAATTATGAGGTATATGGACTATAAATCCTTATGGATTAGAGGTCTTAGGAAATACATCTACGAGACAATCAAGAACAGGAAGTCTGAAAATACTCTACAATTTACTGTAAGAAACAATGACGCCGCTATTGCCGATCCCTCTCGGCGTGGCAGGCGACTCTTTGGCCGATCATCATTTTGAGCATTTGGGGAAAGCTAGGTTTAACTTGGGGGATCTGAAAGAGATAATCGAGCATGCTGCCATGCATAGCAGACTAACCGGTAAAGACACGATATTTGCTGGTGCTCGATCAGACCAAACACGTGCGTTAAGTACACCCTCGGTTTTCCTGAGGGTAGGTGGTATCGATCTTGACAGAGTTCGTGCAGTTACCTCGATATTCGGCCTGTCTGATTGCTCGGTCTGGTGAAGATAGGGGCGCTGAGGTCGGTGCAAACCTGCGGTTCTGATCGATCGATGTTGCCGGATTTCTTTAACGACCAAATTGTGTCAATGGGAAGAGCGAACCACAGCACGCTAGAGAGCTGCGCTGGGATGAGAGGATCTGCGCGGGGTTTAGTCAAGGCCTGAAAAGCCACGGAATTCACCAGAGCTAAACTGGAGAATGGACCGTGTACACGAGCTCACGAGTGCACGTACGAAGGACCGATCAGCCCAATGATCAACTTCAATAGTATTTGTTCAGATAATGTATACAGTACGTGTGAATTTGATCAATGCAAATGTGTGTTATTTTGTAGGACAAATTATAGTGAACAAGTTGTCGCTATCATCACAGTCCCAAACGGGTACTTTCATCACAACATATGTGCATAGCCATTGCTACATTGTATATGCGATATAGTTTCAGATCGATTCTCATTAATCTCGGAAAATACCGCACCTTTGCGTATCAAATTGACACACACTGTAAACGCCGTCTTTTTGGTTACCTCCTCAGCGACTTGCTTGGCGAGCTCATCGGCTTTCTTGATCTCTTGGTTAAGTCTCCGCTTTTCCGATGTGAAATTGTCTCTATGCATCGCCGGACTTGCAATCGGCTGCCTTGCTCTCTCCGACGGAGTCGCGAGGTCATCAAAAAGATTTCTAGCAACCTTGTCAGTTTGCACCTTCGGCGACTCCATTACCCATGAACGCTCGTGTTCATGCAACCGGAGCATCGACGGGCTGAGACTATCGGCAATATTCCTAAGGAACAAAAAACGAACGTTCGAATCACCAATAAACACGCAAGTTCGAGCAAAGATCGGGGCTTTACTTCATGACGTTGACGTCGTCTCTGTGGGCATGCTTCCATTCTCCAGAGCTAAGCTCAAACTCATATGCCGGCATCAACATCCACCCTTTCTCGGCAATCCACAGAATTGCATCTGCGAGATACTCCAGCTCTTCTTGGGTCATTGTGAAGTGAACTCCAACACGAACAAACCCCGGCTTGAAGATCATGTCGCGAGTTGACACTGAATAACACAAAAACACCAACGGCTGTGAATAGCTCTTACATGCTGTCATTTCGAACCGCTCGCCGTTGACGCCACCGAGGCCGAGAAGAGCCTCCCCATACGGTCCAGCGCATGCGCAGCCGCCTCGAGCTTGAATGCCGAAAACATCGTTGAGAACACAACCGACAAAATTGTAGTGTAAGTATCTGCCGACCTGTTTGGAAACCGCGAGAATTCCAGCAACATACAAACCGTGACGATGATGACCATCCTTCTTCTCGTTGTAAAGTATATTAAACGATATTATTCCCGCACAGTGCGCACGATCCTGATGAAAATTATTTGCTTCCGTCTGAGTTCTATTGCAACGACATACTTTCGGTCCCAAGATATGAATCTTGCTGTTGCCTCGGAGTTTTTTATCGAGGTAAGCCGCCATGCGACCTTCGTCCTCGGCGATTGCATTAATGCCCAGTAAAGTGTGAATGTGATATACAGCGCCAGCTCGGATGCATCCGAGAATATCAGGAGTGCCTGAGAGACCAGTAATTCTCCTACCGCATTCGCAACTGTCGATACCGGTGTGGAAAAATATGCACGTGGCGATTTCAAATTTATAAAAAATTCTGAGGAAATTTCGGAAAATTCTTGTTGATTTTGTTCATTTCCAGTCGAATTCGTGAGTAAATCTGTATAATTAGTGAGGAAACTCCTGAGCTCAGCAGAGGGAAGCGAACATATACATTCCAAGAATGGCCGATACACTCAAACTTGACGAAATTAGAGTTGCGAATGCTGCGACCAGTGTGGGAAAATACGCATATGGTCAACTACATGTGTGGCCGACTCTCATTGGTTTCTGTACATTTCTACCCTAATTCGTATATAAACGCCTATAATAAGTGAGGAAACTCCCGAGCTCAGTCCTGAAACTAGCTGATGGAAGCAAACATATATTCCAACACCAGCTGCGACCAGTGTGGGAATATATGCACTTGGTGAACTACATGTGTTGTTAGGAATATGGAAATTCTGAGGAAATTTTGCGGAATTATCGTTGATTTTTGTTTACTTATACCCAAAATCGTGTAATTTTTCATAAAATAGTGAGGAAACCTACGAGCTCAGTTGAGGAAAGCAAACATATATTCCAACACCAGCTGCGACCGACCGGCTTCTTCTCGTTCCTCGAGGTCCGACAGATAGTAATGTCCTCTACTGCTGACGAACTCGACCGTGCCGCCTCCGCAAATGGTCGGTATTGAATTCGTTTGACGCTTCCTCTTGCACAGCAGTATGCCGCTACTGCCCGGCCCACCCAGCAACTTGTGAGGAGAGAGGAAGGCGAAATCGATGTAACCCTCAGGGTGTGTCGGTGGATTCATGTTGACCTAAAATCGCCCAGCAACGACAAACGCAGTCGACAAGTCCACATATTTGAAGCCGGTCGTAAATATGACTAGGAAATTTGTTGAGTCTGGCTCTATAGTGATGGCGATTGATTTTTTCAAAAATCAACGAGGAGAAGAAAAACTCACAGGGAGGGGGAAATTCGAGGAGGAAAGACGATCACATTTTCGTGGTAGGAAGGCATAGCTATGGACTGTACAGTGTGTGTCAATTTGATATGCAGATGTGTGTTATTTTTTCCGAGATTAAACTATATCGCATATACAATGTAACAATGGCTATGAACATATGTTGTGATGAAAGTACCCGTTTGGGACTGTGATGATAGCGACAACTTGTTAACTATAATTTGTCCTACAAAATACCACATATTTGCATATCAAATTTACACGTACTGAATATCGCCTCTAGACTTGCAATCTACCTCACATACAACGCACCTCTCTATGAGCAGCAATTGCAGCGCAGTCCCAAGCGATGATACCACGGAAGGTATGTACCAGTGTTGACACCGTGGGCATCTGAGCGAAGCGTTGCTCATCTCTGGGCCTTGCCGAAAATTATCGATAATTTTCTGCACACTTATACCTTGAGCTCTCAGAATATTGTGAGAAACCTCTTGAGCTCAGGTGAGGAAAGCAAACATATATTCCAACACATCGTAGATGAATTCGGTCTCTCACGTCCTGACATGCTCCCGTTACGTTACTGCACGCCGAAAGAACGACCACAGGGGTCGCGTAGTCGTCACCATGATGACGATTGAATATGCTTACCTGAGATATAGCGGTGACACACCTTGGGGACTCTCGACAAGACTTACTTGTTCCAGGGTGTCACGGAGCGCCTCAATGGACGCGATGCCTTTCACACCGTCGAGGGGGAGGACCTGTTTTAAACGGTCACGAGGGAGGGGGATAGGAGTCCTATCATAGGACCCAGTGGGTACCATGAGTTCTATTTCGATGAACTCGGGAGATGCCTGGGACTTCGAGACATCTACGTGAGACCCAGTAACTGAAGAGAGCATATTGTAGAGATTGTCCCTGTTTTATAAATATGTCTCCGAATTTTGTTTTGGCTGTGTCATTTCAGCGTGACGCTAGAGCACGTACATAAAAGGTTCTAGCTAAGTAAGTTGTATTCATAAACCTACTACTTCTATTCACTACAAGTATACTTGAATTCGGCTTAATTCACTACGACGACGGTTATACCCAATGCCAGTGTGAGGCGATACGCACATTGTCAACTACATGTGTTGGTCACACTATGAAAATTCAGAGGGAATTTCCAAGCACCTAAAATTAGTGTGGAAATTTCCGAGATCAACTGAGAAGAGCGAACATATATTCCAGCACTGCCCCGTACTCACCAGATCGGGACTTGACCCCTTTCCCGAGGGGATATAAGCGGGCCAACTCACGAAAAGGAAGTAGGGAACTGTGGTGGGCTACGGGATCAACCATAACGACCTATGGGAAGAACAAAGGGAGACCATAAGGCGATGTTCGATCTGTACGCTCTCCTTAGCTGAGCTCTGAAGTTTCCTCACAAGTTTAATGTTTATATACGAATTCGGGTAGAAGTGTGTAGAATTTCTACACAGATCGATAATTTTTAGATAATTTGTAGATCATTTTTCTACAGTAGAAACCAATGAGAATTTCCCGAAGTTTTCTCAAAATTTTCATACTGTCGGCCACACATGTAGTTGACCATGTGGAAATTTTCCCACATTAGCAACTCACCGCTCTACGGAGTTTCTTCTCGCGGGTCGGCGGGGCAAAAACTCTACTCTTGATGAGCATATCTTCAAACTTGCGAATAGCACCGGTGGCACCAGCACCGCAGAATATGGCTGAGTCGTGAGTTGGACAGAGGCTGCAGTAGGGGAGCACCTGAGTCTTCATCAGAACAGTTGAAGTATGTCTTGACACGATCTCGTGCTTCCTCTCGGAAGTGGGCGGTCTGCCGAGCAGTAGCCGAGGCCACGGAATGAGTGTTGGCGTACCTAAGATGGGATGATAAGTCCAATGCGACTAGGGAGAGTTCACATCGGGCAGACTTGATTCGCAATAAAGTCTTCAACGCTTTTAAGGGCTCTTCCTGATGCCGTATAGTCGCAGTATCTAATGAGATGATAGACGCACGCATAAGCAGTGTGGGAAAATATGCACATGGTAACCTACGTGTGGGTTAGAATATGGAAATTTTTCTGGGAATATTTTTATGGGTTTTTGTAGTTTGTATATAAACTCCTGTAATAAGTGGGGAAACTCCAGAGCTGAGGAAAGCAAACATATATTCCAACACTGCGAGTATCGAAACTGTGTTGATGTTCGATGACCCTCTTCTGAATTTCAAGAGCATCCCCAGGATCGACTTGAACATGTTAAAACCAATCCTAGGAGTAGCTCAGGAGAGGTCTTCTGAACTCACCGTTAAACCCTACATGAGCCTTCTAGTGGCACCGTCCAAGGGACAGGGTATTTGCTCTTGCTCTCCAATGCACTGTTGACGAAGACTGTTCACGAGGGAGTGGTAGTCGTCTTGGACAGAAGCAACAGTAGCTGCATCGTGGACGACCGGATAGAACCTCTCGGCCGGAGTGATAGTAAGAAGAGAAACCCTTTCAGTGGGAACGGGAGTGTCGACCGACTCGACCCAAGAACGATCGTCTATCATGGTTGACTCCGTCCATGGGGTGGCTCTCGAGTAATGCTGATGCTTAAGTGGAGTAGCGAGAGTATTGCCCTTGTTCATAGTCGGGGACACGACGGGGTGTTTACCACCGGAGCGGGGGACAATGGGAGAGGGCATCTCTAGCCTGTTGATAGCAGCATAGCGGTCAGAGGTAGTCATTGTGTAAGTAATTAGTGACAACTACTGTAGCACGATCGGGAAATTGGAATCACCAAATCAAACTCAGGTGAGAACTAGAAAACTTATCCTTGTAAATGCGTCTGCGCACAGGGAAGATTTTCTGAGCTCGCACGTGCTATCGTTACGCAGAAGAAGGTGCATCTTGCGACTCCGAGTACATCAACTGAGCTAAGGGTACGTGACGCCAGGGGCTGAGGCCAGCTCTAGCAGCAATGATTCGAGTCTGTCACGGTATTTCACGAGCCCAAGCATTCTAGGAGAAAGTCCTTGTCAAATAGCAGATTTTACTATAGTGGACTAGGTGACTGAACAGACCCGTGTCAGATGGGGTCGCTTGTACGGCACCACTTTATCGGGCACCTGTCCCGTGAACTGACCGAGATTTTAGAAGCGAGACCTGCGAGTCTTTGGGCCTCTCCACACTAGTAGTGTGGTCCACACTAAGTGTGACACTAACTGGTGACCAGGTAGTGTCACACTCAGTGTGGACCAGGTCCTGGTCGACTAACTCTAGTAGAGTAATCTCAGTATCAGTACGAGCCTGTTTCTACCATTGGATGGAGTAGCCCGAAGATCAGACCTCATAACAGCCCTCAAGGCCCCACATGTCCTCGTCCATATGCCACTCTCCTGAATCAGGAATATATCACAGTATATCTGAGAGTTCAGATATCAGGAGTCCTGATATCCGAATTAGGAGCTTTTGCATGCTTCAACATGCTTGAGAGCAGAACATAGAGTCGAATAAGGCCACCAGCTTCCCCAAATGGCTCCGGAATGTTCAAACAGACCATCATCATCCGTCATCCTCAGCCTGAGAGGCATTTCCGCGTGAATCATAGTATACCAGATGACGATTGTAGCCGGACATCTGGGAGAATTCACTGATATCGACGGATTAGATCGTATCGCAGCAGTCCCGCAGCGGGACTCCCGCTCTCCGGAAGAGCGACATTTGCTTTAATATTTGAAATAGTTCTCAGATTCCTAGAACATCCGGCATGTTCTTGATCGGTCGTGGTCGTCATCACCAACATTTGCAGCCAAGTCATTACCACAAACATTTGCAGCCAAGTCATCACCACCAACATTTGCAGCCAAGTCGTCATCATCAGCATCTGCAGCGCGATTGTCACCATCAACACTCGCAGTGAGGTCATCACCAACGGGCCATTGTTTAGATGGCGAACACATACAGTCGGGGACGGTGGACTTTTCGTTGCAGTAGGCAGTGATGCGAGGCCTCGAGTTCGAAGCATTCGAACGGTTCAGAGTTTGATAGAGCCTGTTGTTGATACACCTGAGCGTGTTCTTGATACCCTTCAGCAACCCCGTCTTCGGAGTGCTCGCAGTATTCTCTTAGGTTTTGCATTACTGTCAACGAGCTTATCGATTTCGTGGAGGAGTTCTACAGAGATAAGTCTGCGGCGCTCGGCCCGTTGTGGGATCAGCATCTCGTTCATGAGGAGCATGGATCCCGGTTTGGACTTCAACCTCGTACCGGCCATCAGGACGACGATTGATGATTCCTGAATGGCTGCACCGTTTCCATCCTTCCATGCAGTGATATTGACGCACGAATCTCTTGACCATCACACCATATTTTTTCAGATAACCACGCCCTTTCGAGCGCACTCTGCAGTGGAAGGCTTCCAGCGACTTATTCGCTGAGACGTCGTCAACGTAGCTCTCATGCGGAGACCCCGGAGGTACATATGTTGTAGACCGTCCCACAGTATTTCCCAGTGTAGATCCACGGTAAAGTTCCACGGGCTCGACCGACTTCTCGCCGACCTGTGATGGACTCTGCCTTTGTGGGCTGGAGAATCGTGGTACAACGTCGAAGAATACAACAGCTTCGCCAGCTTTGCCATTACTCCAGTGTCATTACTCCACAGCCTATCCTCCCACGCAGTTACCAGAAAAATAAAAATCCACAGTGTGGATTTTTCTGAGAACTCCACCCTCCCTATCTGGCAGCCATCTCCCACAATGATCGTAGGTAGAGGCCACCGAACGGACTGCAGCCATGCTCTTTATGACTTCGCAGCTCCTCCAGGGATTCGGAGACCGAGTCAATCACTGTACCATGTAGGGCTGCCAGTCCATCAATCACTAGCACTACATTATCTTCAGATAATCTGGCTCGGCGGAGTCCTGTAGTCATGCACCATGTAAGCTCTGCTGCGCATCTCATATATCAGTTATCGCCAGGAATGCCACTGTCATCGTAGCGAAGTCCACAGTAACTCATCATAGTGTTACCATTCAGAACTCGGGCAGCAACACCTGCCCACGTGTGGACCATAACACTAAATTCCCCTTGCAGAGAATTAGTCAGCTTGTGGACGACATGTGATTTTCCGGTCCCCGCATAGCCCGTTACAATGAAAGACCGTTCGCGATGGCTATTCTTAATAGCTGCTGGCATTTTGTTGTAGATACGCCATTGATCGGAATCCAGATGAGGAATAGGAGATAACATACGATTGGAAAGCAACAACTACAGGTTTGAGAGGATCATCATGGTGCTGATTGGGAGATCAGATTACCGACTTATTAATAAAGATGATGATACGGATACGGATATGGGAGATATTTATGCGGATGATGACTATATGGATACTGGTATGGCCCATACCGTATGGGGAATATTCATGCGGATGATGAATCATTATTGATGACTATATGGATAAGAATATGGATGACACTTATGTAAGTGTAGGAATATATGCACGTGGTCAACCAATCTGCGTCGGTGACGATATAAGAATTCTGGGAAAAGCTTCGGAATTTCTTATCGGGTTCTGTACACTGGTGACCAAATTTGTATATAAACTGCTATAATGAGTGAGAAAGCTCCTAAGCACAACTGAGGAGAGCGAATATATATTCCAACTTTGATACGGATGATGGCTACACGGATGGTGAAACGGTTATGGATGATGGGACAGTCGCAGAGGATATGTACGGATATGTAGATACAGATAATACTAGATGATAGATAGATAATACATATACTAGATAATACAGATAACCTGTGTGGTACAGATGATGACTTCAACGGTGGTATAATGGGATAATGACGAGGTCGATTGTAACAAAGATGATACAGACTATGTTTGTAATAGTGATATGGATTCTCACACATGGATTCCATCCATGATTTGCTGCTGACATACCAATGAGTGTTCGCATCATGAAGTAGTTTACGTTATCACCTTTTTGCGTTTCAATAATTCAAGCTGCGCAGACGGAGTCGGGCGCGCGCCAACAAAAGATGCAAAAAAAGCCAGACCTGAAGATCGAACCGAGGCCATTTATGTTGTAAGCTTTTTAGTGTTTCAAAAGAGGCGCTGTGAAGCGGTCCGTGAGGGCCGAGCTGTATGGGACACGTCCTTGCCTCTAGTACAAAAAAGCGGGCCTAAGGTCCGCGTCTCGGCTCTGGCAGGAGGCGCCTATGTTGCCACATACGTTGGGACCCATGACCATATTCAGTGTGTGTTTTTCACGGGTATAATCGATGAGCGATTAGAAAACGTCCATCGGTTATGCTCGTTCGAGATGATGTGGGAGTAAACTTTATACTACGTTATAGACATTCGAGGTGAAAAAGAAAACTCAAGTCACGAAGTGTGCTATAATATAGATTCCTTTGAATCTCTGTGGGTATCGCAGCATCTCGGCCATGTCCGGCGGTGAAAGGCGTGGCGAATCTGTCCGTCCAACTGCCAAGTCCACATCAGCGGGACCATCGACGAGGGCATCCTCGGGAGGTTGGCAAAGCGAGAGGGAATATCTCACGGAAAAGCGGAATCGTTTGTTGTTGCGGTAAGTAGAAGAAATGCCAGTGATCGAGGTTTCTTTGAGGGGAAATCCGCATTTCGAAAGAATAGGCCTCTTTTCTAAAGAAGTTTAGCTCATGCTCTCACTTGCATTTCGACTTAGCCTTGGATAACAGTTCGGGTTTCTGGTTTCCCGTCGGGTTTCGGGTGGGGTTTCGGGTTTCCCTTTCTCCGCTTTCACCTGCAGTTCTTGTTTTTTTGGAATTTGCAGTTTAGATTCTCACTTGCGCTATGGTCATCACCTGGATATCAACCTTTACTTTCCATCAATGGCGCGCGCTTCTTTGGTTTCTATGCATCTCGCTTAGATTTGATGCAGTGCCCTTTCTTTGACTCGGCATTTTGAATATACATATATATAAAAGTATACGCGAAAACACAAGACCTAATTTCATCATGAAATTGATGCCATGTAATCATGTATATCATGAAATTTTCATGTGACAGCCCCTACTACTTTTTAACTACAAGCTCATAACAACCTGAAATTTTGTATGGGAAGATTTCTCCAGATTGTGCGAATGTTGCCATGGACGAGAAAAAAATTTTCGAATTGTTTCTTTAGATTGCGCGAACTGTGATATATATGCGAATATATAACACATAGGATAATAGAATGGAGTTTTACGCGAAGTGGTGTAATACTCCATGTGAAAAACGCGATATTGGCGATATGAAGTGAATTGAAAACACTTCGCGAATCACACCGGACAAATCACCTCATATCACGTAAAACACATTTCGTGTTTTACGCGTTATTCATTGCTCACATGCGTTTTTCGCGAAGTCAAATGTGAAATATGTTTTCCGCTGGGTGAAACTCCGATATGTACATATATGAACATATGCTCTCCTCCGCTGAGTTCAGGAGTTTCCTCACTAATTATACGAATTCGGCTAGACGTGTACAGTGTAAGAATTCCCCAAAATTTTCTGAGAATTATGGATAAATTTCCGACACCGTTTTGGTGATAGATACCAGGAGCGGTATGGTCCATCTTCATCTAGAGATACAAGGCGTAGTGATCTATTCAAAGGATTGACGTTTTGGCTCACGGGCCGAATGGAAGGCTCCAGCGAGGAAGAGGCAATGCAAATCCTGGAGGAAATTTTTTCCGTGTGAATTTGATCGATGCAAATGCGTGTTATTTTGTAGGACAAATTATAGTGAACAAGTTGTCGCTATCATCACAGTCCCAAACGGGTACTTTCATCACAATATATGTTCATAGCCATTGTTACATTGTATATGCGATATAGTTTAATCTCGGAAAAAATAACACACATTTGCATATCGCATACTGCCACGCACTCTAAATTGGCGTATCAGATTCAACGATTGGTGACTAGTCACGGTGGAGAGTATCATCAGTACGGCATGCGTAGTGTCACACATGTAGTGGCGAGCGCTATTGCTTTGGGCAACCAGATTTGGCGGAAACTCACTGATATCAACGGAAAAGAACGAAGGTGAGATTTTTCCATAAATTAGAGTTCTACCTACGATATGAAAAACGAATTTCACATTTCACATTTTTGCGAAAAACACATGTGAGTAGCGAGTAACGCGTAAAACTCGTAAAAAGTGTTTTACGTGAGATGGGGTGATTTGTTCGGTGTTTTTCACATGGAGTATTATGCCACTTCACGTAAAACGAGTAAAACTCCATTAATATCTAGGTTGTTTTGGAGCTCAGTTACGTAGTTGTTACTCCGCAATGGGTCGTTGATGCGGTGAAACTCAACATACTTCCAAATGTACATTTGTACCCTCCAGTTGGCCTCGAGGAAAAGTACGCCGAGGAAATCAGAAAAGAAGAACGACGAGAGCGCGAACGGGGACGAATTGGAGAGATGTTTGCTAAACAACAACAACAGCAACATATACAACAACAGCAACAGCAACAACAACAACAACAACAACAACAGCAACATATACAACAACAGCAACAGCAACTACAGAAAGAACCGCGAGATGAAGTCGAGCTTGACAAGAAGGAGTTGATGATGATGAAGCCGTGGAGTGGTATGGCATCATATGAGCAGTTTATATTCCGTGGAAAATCAGCTCGTAAAATTATGGCCGACATAGAAAAGTCATCGATCGGAGTCAATGCAAAAGTGATTAATTTGCGAGGGCATCTTGAAAGATTCTCCCGCACGCGGAAGGATTTGGAAGTTGAAATTGTCGAAGTTGAAGACCTCGAGAGATGCACTAGTGTTGAAGATATTCTCCAGAAGTGGTTCGATGCTACTGTGACACGCGTGACGGTGTTTATCACGCTTGGCTCGGAAGGCTGCGCTTTACCGTTGAAGTGCATAGAAACTGTCGATGAATATCGTGGCGAACAGGATGTTAATACCGACGATTTAACGATGAAGATCCTATCTGAAATTTGTGGGGAAAATCGTTCAAAAAGTCCCATGTCGGTGATTGCATTTTTAAGAACTCTCGAGCGGACAGAATTACCCTATGTGCTTACTGAAGCAGTGGTGAGTCTGATATTGAATCGGCGATTCGATCGAGCGGAACTACTCGTACGAGCTGCGATGGAAATTCTGAGTGCATCAGAAACGGTGGAGCTACAACGAGCTTATGTGATTGCTTTCCGTTTGGCGAATTGTGGTATCAAACCTGGCCCGTTGGGATGAAAATTCGGAAGACCCGAAAAGAAGACTACGAGCTCCTTGGAATCCTCCACGGCGTGAATGAATTGTGTCGTTATACGATTTAGTGACAATCTGTATAATGCAGCGTTTCATAGATAGTGGAGTTGTAATGTTCACCGAAATCATATAGATTATAATATTATATATACCCTTAAATAGGGATTTATCTCCATAGATATTAATAAACTTTAATCTCTACAGATTAATATTAATAAAAGATACCATTATAATATATTAGAGTTTCACCCGTGATATGAAAAACACTAGTGAAAACATATTTAACGAGTAGTACAGGCCGCGAATATCGCGTTTTTCACCGAGTTTTACACCACTTCACGTAAAACGGGTGAAACTCCATTATATCATAAATTAATATAGATTAAGGTAGTTTATAATATCATATTATATATTATATTATATTAATATATTAGGTACTCGTTAGTGATTAACATGTATATTTAAATAGTATATTATATAGTTAATATCGTATTAAAGATATTTTTAGTGATATATTATTAGTAGATGGCTAAATCGGTGATCTTGAGAATGTAGAGCTGATGAATCCACAAGAAAATTGTCCCGGCAGCAACTGAATTTACACAAGCTCTGTGTGTGTCAGTGAGCGTAAGTACCGCGCGCCACAAAATTCTCTGGAGAATTTGAAATATACAGTACGTGTGAATTTGATCGATGCAAATGTGTGTTATTTTGTAGGACAAATTATAGTTAACAAGTTGTCGCTATCATCACAGTCCCAAACGGGTACTTTCATCACAACATATGTGCATAGCCATTGTTACATTGTATGTGCGATATAGTTTAATCTCGGAAAAAATAACACACATTTGCATATCAAATTGACACGCACTGTCGAAATTACTCTGCGTAGTTTTCTCGAGCTGTCACTTTTATGAACTCGACATGGCTCGGTAGAGCCATCAGATTTTTCTCTGCTACTACTACTACTACTACACCGGGAGTTGCCGCAATAGGAGCACATGGCTCAGCAACGGGCCACACTTTGAAAACTCGCTCTAAAGCTCAACAGAGAATTATGGAGTAAGTGTGGGGAATTAATTCCGATATATAGATCAAGAGTTCATTTCGCGCTCGCCCAACAACTGCGTGTATGTTGGCACAAACTGGTCGTGCCTTCCTTACACGCTTTGTTGATTGGTCCTCAACGTGTAACTTCTTGGCTACGTTGGGAGAAGAGAAGCTAAAGTTGATGTTCGACCTTTCTCGGCGTGCTATTCCCCATGAGTAGGGAGAAATTAGAATCCTAGAACTCGCCGAGATTGGAAATAATGTTCCGAATGAGCGATTATAATGGGAAAAATCTCCACAATCGGCCGAGATCATGTTCCTAGCCATTCTGGTGGTCCAAAATTCGTTGCCTCTGGAAACATTTCAAGTTCCTCGATGACAGTGAGTGCCAATTTGATATGCAAATGTGTGTTATTCTCCGAGATTAAACTATATCGCATAAACAATATTAACATTGCTATGAACATGTGATGTGATAAAAGTAACCTTTCGAGACTGTGATAGCGACAAGTTGTTCACTATCATTAATCCCGGAATAGAAAACACATATTCTTCACATTTGCATATCACTATATGATCGCACTACGAAATATGATTTTCGTATCACTAGGGTGAAACTCCATCACTTCATCAACCAGTATATTTCACTCAATATTCATATCAATACGTATGCGACGATTCGTGTCGAATTTTGTTCTACTATTCTTGGCAGTGCCGTTCGACCAGAATGCACTAAGCATTGTTTTTCTCAGCTTCCTGGCGTCCTTCCCCGAGGGAGTTCCCGTCGATCGAATACGCAATTTTTCTGTGATCGCTCATGTTGACCACGGAAAGTCGACTCTGTGCGATCGTCTGTTGAACATGACTGGCATTGAAACCAGAGGCGCGCAGTATCTCGACACTCTAGAAGTTGAGCGCGAACGGGTGAGTGTTGGAAATTTTGAGGAAATTTTCTGAATAAATCTACTCTACTGAGGAAAGCAGACATGTATTCCTCCAACACTGGTAAAGTTCCAAATTGGTGTCAAAACACTTTTTCAGGGCATCACCATCAAAGCACAGAGTTGTAGCATATTATACGACAACCCCAAGGACGGCCTCACGTATTTGCTCAACCTCATCGACACGCCGGGTAACTGTGTGGTTCGATACATTGGAGTTTCACGAATCGTGATATGAAAAACACTGGTGAAAAATATATCACCGCGAATATCGCGTTTTTCATAGAGTATTACGCCACTTCACGTAAAACGGGTGAAACTCCAAGACTGTTTTCCATGGGGGAATGATGTAGAATAATTGGAAAGCGTTTAAGGTGACCATCATCAGATCTCCGAGAATATCAGTAGCCGCTCTTGAGCTTAGTCCGGTTCGATTCGAGGTTATGAATATTTTCCTTTTCTCTTGCACTCATGTCTGAAATGTTACCAGACAGTGTTGGAATATATATGCTAATCTCCCTCAGCTGAACTTAGGGCTAATATCATAGCTAATTCTTAGTTAGTTTTAGTTTTATGTTTTAGCTTAGTTTTCCTAACTAATCATAGAAATTCGGGCAGAAGTGTTTAGAAATCAACAATAATTTTCCAAAAATTTGAAATTTTTGGGAAGTTTTGAATTTTCATATTGTCACAGACATATATAGTGTGTGCATATCTTCCTACAATGTTATCAGGCCATACAGACTTTCAATATGAAGTGGCGCGATCCTTGTCGGCTTGCCAGGGCGCGATACTTCTGGTGGACGCGTTACAAGGTAAGAGACAATTTCTGAATCTCGCTCACTACAGTAAGCGCCTATGAGCAATCGCGAAATGTGGTAATCGTTAACATGGATGAGCTTTGTCGTTTTTACGCGGGGAAAATCGTCGAATAACAGCTCCTCGTATAAATTCGATACAGACTGTTCCTGAGGATGCTCCTCAGCTAAGATCAAATTTATGTAAAATAAATCAGAAAATGCGAATTTAATACAGCAGGTCCGAACTTAACAAAGGATGATGAAACTTTGTCAATTGATTTTTAATAGCATTATCATCACGTCTCAAAGGTCTTTGAATGACCTCTCCTAATTCAACAAGTTATCGCAAGGTGACTCGCATAACGGTTTGTTAGAGGGATTTGCAGTAGGCGTGACCATTGATAAATAACACAATACCCCAACGTTAAGGGATAACTTGTTTATTGATTACTTTGAGAATATAGAGACCCTTAAGCCTAGCTCAGCCTTAGAAAGCGGCCGACAAAGCCACACCACAGGAGGGAGACAGATTGGAACACAAGACATCTATCGCTTTAGCATCGTTCTGGCACGGTTTGGCTCGCACTGTGTAGTACGATTTAAACACCGCTCTATTTGCTTGGTAAATACTATTCAATGGAGTTTCACCCGTTTTACGTGGAGTGGCGTAATACTCTGCGAAAACCCCGATATTCGCACTATGTGGTTGTCGCGAAATATATTTTTCACTAGTGTTTTTCGTATCACGGGTGAGACTCCAATATCACGACACACAGAGTGGTGCCTAAAAAGAACCACCCGTTGTAATTTCGCGGCGAGTGACTAAGGTACCATTTTCCTTATGTAGCCGATTTTGCGTATGACGATACCTAAGTGCACAATACAGATATAAGAACCGTTCATACAGCGCTGGAGAGAGCTCGATGATATCCTTTCTGTTCACGAACTGTCACTTGCTGCGAAATTACGAGGGTGGACTCTTTTTTCGCACCACTCTGTATTTCAAGCCATCATTACTAGATCTTCGACCAATTCACGGCATAAGTTGGAGTTGGTAGCAATTTCGCATTCGTTGTAGGGTACATGAACTACACTCTTCCGAATGGTATCAGCTCAACTGGTGTAGTATAGTAGAGAAATAATAAAAGCGAACGAAAGCATAAACTGATGTCGAGAATGGAAGTGGTAGAGTATACAGGCACCTGCTCCTTTATGTTAGGAGTTCAGGCGCAGACGGTAGCTAATTTTTATTTGGCTTTCATGCAACAGGGCTTGGAGGTTATCGGTGCACTCAATAAAATTGACATCGAACATGTAAGGCGACTCCGAGAATATGTTGGTGATGACAATGTGAAAAATTCCGAGAAAATTTTCGGAGGTGATTCCCTGCATTCCCATTCGGATTCGTATGTGAACTTGTATAATTAGTGAGGAAACTGATTCCTGAGCTCAGCTGAGGGAAGCGAACATACTGTGTGGCTGTGCGTAGGTAGACCTGTCGAGTAGTAGGGCTCAATTGGCTAGTCTGATGGACACGGACGAATCAGCGATCTTGGGGGTGTCAGCGAAGACGGGGAAAAACGTCGATAAATTATTAGAGGTAAGAAAATAGTAGGAGTAGTTGAGCATGTGAGTATGTTCCTACACTGAAATTTCACCCTAGTGATATGAAAGACATATTTTACGACTACTGCATATCACCGCGAATATCGGGTTTCTCACAGAGTACTACGCCACTTTAGGTGTAACAGCTGAAACTCTGGTGTTTTTCCGTTGCTGTACTTCTCAAATTGCCGAATTTCAGGCGATCATCGACCGAATTCCGCCGCCCCAACCGGATGCTAGTCCTTGCGCACAGCAGGCAAAAGCACCCCTTCGAGCGTTATTGCTGGATATGTGGTTCGACAGAAATAGGGGTGAGGTTATCTCTCTTGCCGTGAATTTCATTCAGTGTGGGAAAATATGAACATGGTCAACCACATATGTTGGTGACAATATGGAAAAAATGCTGAGAAAATTTTCGGAGATTATTGTTGACTCCTGCACAGTTCTACCCGGATTTGTATACAACCTCTATAATCAGTGGGGAAACTCCTGAGCTCAGCTGAGGAAAGCGAACGACATATTTGATATATGAATATATATATTATATAACAATAAAAGTAGTGTTGAGATATATGATATATCCCAACACTGCTTTAATTGATCGATGGAAGTGAATACTGAGTGAGATTACATCCTTTGTGACGATTGCGAACATTCGTAGACGAGTGTTTGATAAGAAAACTATATCGATATTTTGTGGGTGAAGTCAACATAGTAAATAATGGAGTAGATAAATGATTTTATAATAGTCTATCTACGATTGCAATTACGGAAATATCTAGCTATCTAAGTGAACAACAAGTCTTCGAGTGATCGCACAAAGTGATCGATATGAGGAGTCCTCTCAGGCGCGGTGCTTCTGGTTTACCTCACGAATGGGTCTCTGAAAAAAGGAGAAATGCTCGAGCTGAAACATGCGGGACGAAAGATGACCGCGTCCGACGTTGGAGTCATGCACCCTAATTTAACGCCGCTCGATTCTCTACACCGAGGCCAGGTGAGCAGAACCATATAATTTATAATACAGTTTCACGAGCCGTGATATGAAAAACAGTAGTGGAAAATATATTTCACGACTACTGCATATCACCGCGAATTTCGCGTTTTTCGTCAAGTATTACGCCATTTCACGTAAGACGGGTGAAACTCCAATGCATCTACTATTATTCAATACGATTTGTATCATGTTTATTGGAAATTAAGTGATTGAATATCACCTAGTTATTAGGGATTAGATAGATATTGCATGGATCTTATACAGTGCGTGTGAATTTGATATGCAAATGTGTGTAATTTTTTCCGAGATTAAACTATATCGCATATACAATGTAACAATGGCTATGAACATATGTTGTGATGAAAGTACCCGTTTGGGACTGTGATGATAGCGACAACTTGCTCACTATAATTTGTCCTACAAAATAACACACATTTGCATATCAAGTTCACACAAACAGTATATTATTTGTAATCTTCTAGAGATAAAGATAATTATTTTGTATTACTGTAATCCTCTACTTCAATGGGTATTCAGCTCGGGTACATTACGTGTAATCGAAACCAAGATATCCGAGGGCTCCGAGTTGGTGACACGATCAGCAGAGTTGGTGACACAGTTGATGTGTTTCCTGGCTTTCAACCGGCCAGGAGTATGGTGTACGCAGGTGGGACGTGATGGGGGGATTGCGGTTACACGCGTGTTTTCGAATTCTCTATGAATCGCCATGTGTTTACATCATCGTAATCATCATAATCATAACGTGCAAGTAACATGCAAGGCATCTTCTCGCCAAGTAACGCTCTCAGCTTCGACAACTCGTAACGTGGTGACGCCGATTCTCGTGTCACCCCTAAACGCGAAACGGCGCAAGAGATATGTTTCCATTTCATTGACGGCTTTTTTTCGAAGGAGTATTCCCCGTCACCACAGACGACAGCGAACGCCTCGAGCCCGCCATGAATCGGCTGTCCCTCAGCGACTCCAGTCTTGAATACAAGAAAGTGATCAGTCAAGCTCTAGGTGAGAACAAGGTCACTGTAAATGCGATAATTACAAACGCTGGAATATAGGTTTGGTTCCCTCAGCTGAGTTTTTAATTTTCCTCGCTGAACCTTGAAAATCCACATGCGTTTTTTGGTAGAAGTGTAGAAAAACCAGCGATGATTTCCCGAAATTTCCTCAGAATTTCCATATTTTTATTGACATATGTAGTTGACCATGTGCATATATTCCCATACTGCTCGTCTTTCTCATCAGCCCGAATACGTCACCATTTTTCGAGATGTCGCTAGAAAGTGACCAAGCAGTTGAGACCGCGTATAAACTCGTCACTGGAAAAATGAAATTTTTAAAATTTTGAATGCATAAATTCTCATAGGAACGCCCTCGTACTTTCTCAACAGGCACTGGGTTCCGATGCGGCTTCCTCGGACTGCTGCACATGGATGTCATCAAGCA